ACGAAATGACTTGTCGACGAAATGACCCTGTCGACGAAATGACTTGTCGACGAAATGACCCTGTCGACGAAATGGCCTGTCGACGAAACAACCCTGTCGAGGAAACTGCCTGTCGACGAAATGACCTAGTCGATGAAACGGCCTGTCGATGAAGTGGTGTCGATGAAGTGATTGTCGATGAAATGAATGCGACCCATTATGAACACCCCCCTCGAAAAAATTCTGCGTACGCCACTGTTTGATGTTATATTATAACCGTCGTTGAACAGTCGACCCAATTTTTTGGGTTTACGACTACTAATTATCTACTCCATAGCCTTGTATTTTGGAACCCAATCCAGAAGACAAGGGAACTCCTGGATCAAGTATGGCGAGAAATTTGCCTTCCTGGAGGACTTATTGATGGAACTAACCCGCATTTGCGTTACATGGAGAGGAAAACCACGAAAACATCCCACAGTTAGCCTGACTGCAAGGGAACTCTAACCCATGATATGTCTACCATTGAGGATATTTTACGTCAGCACTGCGGTCGGTGAGAGCCGTGTGCGGAATTCGAATCGACCAGCTATCGCTGTGATCGAACCCGGGTCAACTCATTGGAAAGCGAGCACTCTATCCCCTGATCTACCACGTCTCTAAAGTCTTTTGATAGGAGTGAGCAAATACATTCATAAACTGAGCGCACACCTTCATACAAATTCACAAGTTCATTCATGTCACAGAGCGTGCTCGAGATATTATTCTGTGAATTTTACATTTTTACGAAAATAAATTTAATATTTTGGTACAATAATCTTAAAAGGATTAACTATCGAAAAATACATTTCAATTTTTCTTACTGTGTTGCTCCCCTTACTGCAAATATGATTCTAAGACATAATTAAATGTAATGGATGTAATTAAAATTATTTTAATATTTGTTTACTTTTAAATTTTAGGGAATTCTTGTTATGTATGATGTCACAAACATGGACTCTTTCAATCATCTCTCCTATTGGTTTCGAAATGTCGAGGAGGTAAATTATGGAGTGCAAAGATATTTTATCGTAAATTATAACAGAATCATCACACAAAAACCATAGTGTTGTTGATATAAATATGTACTAACTTTCATTCTGTAGTCACTACCTTTTTTATATGTATAGTTGTTCGAACTTTTGTCGGGAAAAAAAACTATTAACATTAGCAATTACGAGGATGAAATTAAAATCTTATTGAAATGTGTCGAATTACTAGTGAGCCTTGTGGCAAAATTGCAGCGACACGGCAACATTGCTGCAGAACGTTGCAGAGCTCTTGCAGAAAGGTTTTTATTTTGAAAAGTTAAAAATATTACTTTCTTTTTCTACAGAAATTTTAATTTTTGCTAATATATAATAATATTTTATTTATAATATTATATGTAATAAATAATATTTTGATAATATATAATAATAATATTTTATATATAATAATAATAATATATTTTAACAATATTTGAATCATGCATTTGGTATCATAAATCAGAGTGATGTATCGATAGTATATTCAGCAGTGATTGATATTGATTTTATCGAACTTATTTATCTTGCTCAAACTCGTTGAAATCATTATTTTTAAGACGTTGAATGCCATGGGGGTCACCGGTGACCGGCGAAGCTAAGATTATTAGAAATACATAATTCGAGTAAATGTTTAATTTTTTTTATATTATTATCGTTACTAAAATGGTTTGAAGAAATGAATGTAATATAGAACACACAAAAATAGTTTTGTTTATGTACACAAAGATGCCAACTTGCTCCGGACAGCGAATCAATATTTTCAAGTGGTAGTTTGTTAATTGTGATTCTTGGTTTAATAAATTGAATTGAGTAGATTTTTATCCACCACTATTTCTAAACAATTCACCACTTTTTGTCATGTTAAACCTTTTAAAAAACTATCAAAATCTGTCTAATATTTGCGAATTTAGTTGATAGTTATTTACCGTTTGGCTAGACAGGCAAGCCAATGTAAAATTGGCGTGGCATTCAACATGTTAAGTAATAAAAAAAATTTCATGGACATATTTTAATGTTTGAGTTGTTATGATGATTATCGACGTCTGAATCAGACGCGGGGGCGTAACCCTACGTCTGAAGTTCTTGCGTGTCTGTTGCATTTGACCAGACACGATTTACAGATGAATGAAACTGAAAAAGTATTTTGCGAAGATTGATTAATACTTATGAATTGAGCAGTGGTTTATGCATACTTAAGGATATCTGTAACAACTCGAATAATATAGTTTTATTATGAATATTATTTCACAAATACAGAAAGATACAGAAGCAAATTTTCCTAAGATCTTCAATATCCTCAGGTATGCCAACTTAAACAAATTTTTCCTAATGGTAGTGGAAAATATTTTTGTGTTGCGGAAAATGAATATGGTTAAACCAAGGAATAAATAATAAATTCTTATATATTAAATTATTATTAGAGTAAATAAAACACCATTTGGAAATATTTTTCAGTTAAAATGAAACGATTTTAACTCTACAATATTACAGTCTTAATGGAGTTGATGTGTTAGGTTGGCAACTAAGTTCCCTCAATTTTTTTTTAATTTTGTAAAAGCACGGTCAGAACAGTCTTTGGGGTAACAATAATTATTTTTAAATTTCGCGAGTTAATCATGAACGGTTCTTCCAGCAATAGCACCCTCTCGTAGCTTTTGCGCCTAGTCCTGATTAAAAGCAAAAAGTAGATGGCGAAAATGATTTTTATCCAATTTATTTTAATGCTCTGAAAATTAACATTAATTGACTCGAACAAAATACAAAAGAACTATTTCTACAGAACAAAACATCCTCTTTCAAACGATCGAAAACATTTAAGGCGCACGCATGGTCCTTAGCGTTTTCAAATGTGCGTGAATTGAGTTGGATATGATGAGATTATTGCACTCTCATGTGCAACTCTGTTGCATTTTGCAAGATATTCTCAATTTCAAGCTTCAATTTCCACTCTCTGATATCGAACCGAAAAACCTTTTGATCATTTTATAATGGCCAATATAATCCAGAAAAAGCGTTCTTTGTCAGAAACTAGTTATTTTATCATGAACATGTAAAGTTTTTGAAAGTTATTTTGCATTTTGTTAATGTATATAGTGCTTAGAAATATCTTTTGAGTGCTTAAAAAGTACTTAAAAGGTGCTTATTTTTGTTGAAAGACTTGGCTACGCACACTGCCACGGAACGTTAAAATTTAACTAAACGGTGTTAACTTTGTTGACGAAGCTTTATAGAAGAAACTTTATTAGCGTAAAAAGCTTTATTAGCGTAATTAATTTGTTCTTTAATTTTTTATAGTTGCAAATAAAACAAGAGCGCACTGCCGAACAGACGCAACCTTGTTTGTGCTTTCTTGTATTAAACGATCAAAGAAAAACTATAACAAAAATGATTAGAATTTCATTACATTTATCTACAATTAATGTTTTTTGTTTTTGTTGACAGAATGCCTCCCAAGACGTTGTTAAAATTCTTGTAGGCAACAAATGTGACAACTCTAACTTAAGAGTGGTTCAGCAAGAACAAGGAAGAAAGGTTTGTCACCAAATTTTTTTATCATCAATACTCTGGATTGTACAAAATATTTCTTTAATTTAATAATTTTATTAACTCTGCACTGTCACTTATTCCTAAATCATTATTTGTACTTAAATTGGTTGAGAATTCCTCAGATTGATGTTAAATTTTTAAATTTCTTTTTTCCGATACTTTTTTTGCTCTTAAAGCTGTTTTTCGAAGCCTCCGTCGTCAGATAAAATGATACTTTTTTATGAATAATATGCTATATTCATAATTGCTGTGAGTTTGCAATTATTGCTCCTGACTGTTTAACTCAAGCTTAGCCTATCTAAGAACAGTGCTGTCTATGCTTATTATGAAAATAGTGCAAAATGTCACTATGGAGAAAATCCGCAGTTTTGTGAAAATGAAAAGAGTTAGTGGTCTAATTTTTTAAAATTTAAAAACTTACTCCAATGCTGCATTACCTGGGCTCATAAAAATGTGCGAAAACTAATAATAAGGCAGTGATTTTGATAATTTTCATCCAGGTAGAAAAATGTCGCCAAATTGGCGATATTTAAAAAAGTTTAAAAAAAATAACTCTTAAAATATTTAAGTTATTTGTCTGTTCTAAAAACCAGATAATTCTTCACGGCAAGATTATACATATAGTTTAAAATCATCGCATTGCTTCAAGTGTAAGCCACTTAAACTAAGGCTTTTTTTATTTTCCTTGGCGACTAAGCTTCAAAAAAACAGCGTTAACACTCTTTTGATGACTGCATACCATATGATAGCACTATACTGCCATGCAATAGGGAGAAGAAAAAAAACGTCCAAGTTCTTTCTGGTAGACTTTGAGAACTGCCACTTGACAACTATTTTTTCATCCTTATTAGTGTTATCACCAAATGGAATTTCAGAAAAATGATGCAATAATAATCATAAAATTCTTATTCAATAAGTAGACATTAATTTGAAAATTTCTTTTTGAAATATGTAGCTTATTATACAAAAATAATAAATACATTATAGACCAAAACGTCAAATTTTCTTCGTTTAGTTATATGAGGAAGCAAGGATTAGATTGTGAGATAAACAGCTCTAAAAAAACACACACACACGCAAATAATCGAATACAGATATTTTTTTCTTTGCCGTATCGATTGTTGTTCTAAATTACAAAAAATAATCCATGATTTTCACAATTTTCTCTGCAATACATTTATCAGAAACTAGTTATTTTATCATGATTATGTAGTTTTTGAAACTTTTTCTAAGTTTTATTGATTTTATGTTTATAAATTCAGAACTTTAAAACGATGGGAGAAAAATTATTTTTATTACCGCACAGATCCTAATTATGACTTTTTTTTTTTTGGAAAGTGATTAAAAATATTTTTGAGCACTTAAAAGGTGCTTATTTTTTGTTGAAAAATCTGGCTACGCACCCTGTTGAATCGACTATTCATTAAATATTGAACGCATATTTTGTGATACTTGCAAAATCTTCTAATATGCTAATCATTGTAAATTCAAAAATGACAGGGATTTAGCAATCATATACACTCATTAATAAGGCGGTTTTATTAACCAATTACTTTCAAAAGGTCAACTATTAGTAGCAGCGATAGTTATTTTCGGAAATAATTTACGTAATTATTCAATGCTATCATTAAGAACGAATCTAATGACACTAATATTGGAAATATTAATGATATTAGTCATTTCTCGTATTAATGTTAGATAATGTTTGCTTTGCGTGCATGCTAGGTTGTATTGCTTTTGAAAGCACTTATTTTTTTCACGATTTTATTTGCTTTTTTTTTTGCAATCATGTATTCATTTTTTAAAACACTTAATATTTTATTTTATGCATTGTCCATACAAGTTTTAGGAAATTAAACTGCATAGTTATGAGATTTTTTTTATTTATTTTCCCCTCTTAATGATGTGAAAAGTTCTTTTCTTCTACCAATTGTTGAAACTTGATGTATGACAATATTTTACTTTGATGCATGGAATTTTTTTCTGAATAAGATATCAATGATTGCTATTTTTAATGGCAAAAGAGAATGGAATAAGATATCTGTGATGATACTATCACAATACCCTCAGCTTTCTACCTTTTGGCATTTGTCTAAATTTATAATATCACTTTTGCGACTGTGCCTTGCACCTAGTTTTTTTTTTAAACTGTGACAGTGAGCCTTTCTATGCTAGTTGCCCAGATGACGCTCATATTTGATTTGTGTTGCTGCACAAACGAGGTGAGCTGAAATCTTTAAGATTTTATAAGCATTTTCTTATATATATATATATATATATATATATATATATGTANCAAATATTATTTTTTTCCAAGAATTGCAAAAAATGGTTGGTCAATAGTGATAATTATGTTATATATATATATATATATTAATTTTTTGAGACAACGACAAAGCATGCAGAGAAGGCGAATCAAATCTTGAAGATAGAGCTGACCTCGTTCGAAGTGACAACACAAATCGAATGTGAGTGTTTATCCGGGCAACTGGGTTAGGAAAACTCACGGTCACAGTTAAAAAAAACTAGGTGCAAAGCCCCAATCACAAAAGTGATATTAAAAATTTAGGCGAATGCCAAAAGGTTGAAAACTGGGGGTATTGTGATAGCATCATCACAATATCAATTTGCTATCTTTAATGGCATTAGATCATTTATATATTATTTAAAATAATATAAAAATATATTAAAAATGAAAATTAATTATAAAAATACATAAAAAAAATATATTGAAAATATATTTTTTATCCAATCAGGAGTAATAATTTTAAAAAAAAAATTGATGTATTAGGTCTAACTAAATATTTTTTTTTTTTATAACCGTCGTTGAATAGACGACCCAATTTTTGGGTTTATGACTTCTAATGCTCAATTCAGTAGCCTTGTAATTTTGAACCCAATCCAGAAGACAAGGGAACTCTTGGATCAAGTATTGGGGAGAAATTTTGCCTTCATGGAAGCTGTTTGGTGGAACTAACCCACTTTTGCTTTACTTGGCGAGGAAGACCACGAGAATTAAAGCCTGACGGCAAAGGGACTCTAACCCGTGACCCGTCTACCACTGAGGATATTTCACGTCAGCACTGTGGTCGGTGCAAGCAAGATGCGGATTCGTATCGACAAGCCATTGGTGGGATTCGAACCCGGTTCACCTCATTGAAAGGTGAACGTTCTGTCCCTTGAGCCATCACGGCTCTAACTGAAAGTTAAGTTTGTCCTTAAAAGTACGCTCCCCCTTTTACAGCAACACAAAAGATTCTTTTATAAATTGGGTTTCTTTGGACGAGCGGTATTGCCCGCCAAACGCTGTGTTTAACACGGAGGCAGCGGTCTCGAATCCCGCCGTCATGCTAGATGCATCGTCTCTGTATTGTGTTATTTGTTCTTCTACTTTAAACTTAAGGCTTCTTTTTTCATCGCATTCCCAAATAGTGCTTCTCATCGGCATATTTTGGCCAGGTGGCCTAGCGGTTAGCGTGCATGACTCCTGGTTCGAATCCCGCTCAGGGCATGAATGTTTCTCTCTGTGTGTTGTCCTCTGTTGCGTGTAAATGTGACCCACCCTATAAATCTGCGATGGCTCAGGGGATAGAGCGTTTGCCTTCCAATGAGGCGAACCGGGTTCGAATCCCAATCGATACGAATTCCGCATACGGCTTGCCAGTGCTGACATGAAATATCCTCTGTGGTAGACGGATCATGAGTTGGAATCCTCTTGCCGCCAGGCTAACCGTGGGAGGTTCTCGTGGTCTACCTCTCCATGTGACGCAAATGCAGGTTAGCTCCATCGAAAAAGTTCTCCACGAAGGCAAATTTCTCTCAATACTCGATCCAGGAGTTCCCTTGTCTTCTGGATTGGGTTCAAAATTACAAGACTAAGAAGTTGAACATTAGTAGTCGTAAATCCCAAAAATTGGGTCGGCTGTTATAAAATAAAATATAAATCTGTGGCGTGGGTAATGTTGCTCGTCTTCGTGACTCTGTTCTCAAGGTAATCACCAGGTAAAACAAGATGAGCAACACTTCTGGCACCTTTCCGATAAGTTCAGTGCGTACCGTTAACAAAAATAATATATTGTTGATAAAGAATCATTATTTACTTAATCATGTGAAGTATTCTTAATAACAGGGTGCGTAGCGTTTGTATAAAGTACTTAAAGGTGCTTTTTTGGGGATTTCGTTTTTAAAAGCTTTTAAAGGTGCTTTTTTCAGCTGGCGTTTTTAAAAAGTGCTTTTTTTTTTTCAAATAATTTTTTTCTTCCCTACAGTGATATCTGGTGGATCCCATGCATTTCACGAAAAATGGGGAGTTTACTACGTAATCATTCACGCGGACTTCATGTCGTACCCACGTTATGACTTGCGCATGCGCGCACACTTAAAACCGAAACCCGAGTGCTCCAATTCGGATAGAGAATATCAGATCCTTATGAAATGCTTTTCTTTTTAATTTATTTTAATTTTATTCTTGTTTATTTTATTTTACCTCAAGAACTTTTTTTGACGTAGGGTGTAAGGGTACTTTTGTTCTGAGTTCAGGGTCAAGTTGAATTCACTCGGTGATGTGGGAAAGTACTGATTGTTTCGATTTACGCCCGTTTCTTTTTGGGTTTTTTTTTAACGCTAAAACTGTTTATAAAAAGTTTTTGTTTTTCAATAATATCATTGATTGAATATGAATTTTTTGAGTGCTTGAAAATTTTTGTAAAGTGCTTGAAAAGTTTTTAAAAAGTGCTTATTTTTGATTCAAAGATTTGGCTACGCACCCTGTAATAATACTAACTTAAAAATTTATTCCTACTGTTTATTACACTACTTAATTGATTCGCATTTTTGCTTAATATTGTTTATTTATCCCTAAATGATATTCATCTAGCGGGTGGACGCTTAAATAGGCCCCATCGAGCAAGGTTGCCATTTTGTAGTTTGTTTGTTTTTTTAAACAAAATTGTGCGTTCAATTTAGTGTTACCATTTTTTAAAAAAACGCAACAGCTTAGTTGTAACTTAACAAACAAATAATGTTATTATTAAACAAATATTTAATTTGTAGAAATAAATTAGATATTATCATTATTATAAATCAATGCTGTTACAATGTTAAGTCTGCAAAAATTTGAAAAAAAAAAAGTTTTCCTCCTGAATTCTACTGTGTATTTGAAAAAACAACGAAAGCGCTTCACGGTTTATTCCGAGAAAAGTTGTTTGACTACTATTTACCTTAGATTGCTAATGCTATGAAAGCTAAAATAGAATGTCAAAAACTGATAAAACAAAAATTATTTTTGAAAAAATATTAAATTCTTGCAATATGTAGCTTACCATATAAAGATGCAAAATATATTAAAATCTCAAATTTTGAATTTTTTGTCACTTAGTTGATTTTTCAATCATTCATGTTCATTTTAGTTCTATTTAATATTATTTATCGTTTCAATTCATTATAATTCTCTAATCTTTTCATAAATAATTAAATTATGAAGTTTAATTATTGCTTTAGACGCACAATTTTATTAATTTATACTTTTATTTTTCTAAAGATTGCTGAGAGTTGTGATGTACCGTTCTTCGAATGCAGTTGTAAAGAGGATGTGAATATTGATGAAATATTTTTAACAGTTGCTCGCATGATTAGGGAACAGAGAGAGAGACGGGTAAGAATTTTATTTTTTTAAGGTTCTACCATTGTAAATATATGGTTAGTCTCTTCTAATTATAACGGGCATTTATCCGTAAACTCAATGGCAATGTTCTAGATTAACGTGTGGGGATAGTAGATATCGACAATGCCAACCTTTATCTATGAAAAGGTACCGAGGGACCAACATTGGGAAGTCTAGATTTTTCAATATTGGTTTTAAAATGGCTTATGTAGGACCTACAATGGCCAGTATAGAACCTACATTGGTTAAATAATGGATATAAGATATCGGAGGAATTTGCCGATTCTATATATGACTGATATGGGTTGTAAAGTGACTGTGAAATATCGGGTCAATCGGATAATTTTATATAAGGCCAATGTCGGAAAAATAAGAGCTGTTTGATCCCTTACTGAGCCAAAGATTCATGAATTTTGGCCTATTGAGGTCCCAGGTTATTTTGCAGCTAGGGAGGCTACGAATTTCAGCATTGATATTCCTTAACCCAAAAATGGTTCGGCTGTTTACATAGGTTATAAAATAAAATGGAATTAAAGAGCATTGTCGTAAAGTTTTAGGTTAGACATTTTATTGTACAACAGTTTTAACACTAGATTTACGGACGTTTTTTATACACCTATTTCTACGAACACGCGTCAATTTGACGCATGAACGAATACACATAACAGCACTTCACAGAGATGTCAACTTGCTCCGGACAGCAAATATATATTTTCAAGTGGTAATTTATTAATTGTGATTCTTGGTTTAATAAATTCAATTTAGTAGATTTTTATCCACCACTATTTTCTAAACAATTCGTTGGCTTATATAATTCACCACTTTATATTTGCTAAATTTACTTAATAGTTATTTACCGTTTTTTTTAATTATTTTGACGTGTCCAGAACAGTTGGCATCTCTGCTCTTAGAAAGCAATGCAATTATATACTATAAGGGAAAAAATGAAAATATGAGACATATATTTATGAAATATTCTAGTATTTTATTTTTCAATACTCGAACTAAGCAACTGAAACCTTCAAAATCTGACATCAATTGACATTCTGCGTTTGTTCTTTCTGTTATTGCTTATCGGCAACAGTTGTTTATCGCTTGTTTCATTTGAGATAACGGATCGAAGTAGAGTCGGTACATTCCTATTTATTATGATGTGATGTTTGCATGTTTACTCAAAATTTTGTCTAAATTACGATCGCGTCAAATTGACGCATATCAGTAGAGATAGATATACCACAAAGAGAATTTCAATATTTCAACGCTTTTGAAGAAAATAGGCTTCAATATATATTAACCTCGATCAATGGATAAAAGTCATTACAAGAGATAAAATAAAAATGCAAACGAGTTTTGTAATTTTACTTATAAAATTCGAAATGCGTCAAATTGACGCGTCCCGTAAACCTGGTGTTAATGGTGTTTTTTATTTTTCAGGCGAGTAAATTTGACGAGATAGAAAGGATGCAGTGGGACAAAGCACACCTGACCCAGGAGAAGCCACAAGAATCTTACAAATGCAGTAGTTGTTGATGAAACCGCCTTAATTTTCGACATTTCTGATCATAATTACTCCAATATAGGCTCGAGCTTTTAATTTTGATTTCTTTGACCACAGCAAAAAAGGCGCCGAGATATTTGATGTAATGTTTCAGCAGTATTAATACTTAACAACTGCAATACTTCCCCCTTTGAGGAAGAAGCTCGCTCACTTATTTTTTTTTTTTTTTAAAGGATGATTGACCAAAAATGCTTTCTATGGAATACTCTTCTTTTTTACATTTCTAAAAAAGAAAAATGAATTTTTGTATTGCAATTTATGCCTGTCCTTTCTCTTTTTAAGAAAGTGTTTTAGGTTATTAACCCTCTGAACCGGAACCATTTTTTTCGTAATCAAAGCTGGCAACTTGTGCAGTCATTGAGGAATATTTTTAAAAGTGGTTGTTAAAATAATCATTGAAATAAAAAGATTTATTAAAAATTAAGCCACTTTGCTCATTTTAGATGCATAATTCCCTAACCGATAGCAGAGCTACTATTTATGAAGGCAATATATTAAAAAATTAGAAATAATTATCCTTCACTACCACCTATTTTTATATAAATTACATATTTATTTCTTGCAAAAATCCGCTTAAGTTAATATATGTTATTAGTAGTAATAGTCGCAGATACTATTGCTTCGAAACGTAAGTTGAAATTGAAATAATCTTGCAACCAGTATTTTTTTTTATCTTAGATGCAATCTTTATGACGTACGATTGAAATATTTTTTTGTAGCAGCAATTATTTTCCAAACCTATATAAACATTAATATATCTACCACTGAAAAATATTAGCTCAATGACTAAAACAAATCGACAGTTCTGAGTAATTAATTAAAATGCTTCTGAAAATAGGTGAAAATTTTATACTTTCAAAACATTTGCTAATTTTTGCATCTAAATATCTCATTTTTCATAAATTGTTCTTTAAATTTTTAAATTATATTTTGATGAGTAAAATGTGCTTAAGTATATTCCGTTCATTTTATTTAACTTCTATGTTTTTTTTTCACTTTTTCAAAGCCAGTTTTTGATAGCAGCAACTTTAACAAATCAATGAAGTTCAACTGTTTAATTCTTCTCGCCAACATCTCTCACTTTTGGCGGGAGATTTTTCTCAGACACATAAAGAAGTAGGAAAAATTATACTTTACTGTTTTATTTTTAATTTGATAAATTTCATTTGTTTTGACCACCACTATATATAAACAATTTAAAAAATATATTAAAGGCCTGTTGACCAAGGCTTTTAACTTTTTAAATGCTACATTTTTAAGTTAAAATAAATGTTAAAAAATTTTGATTGATAAGCTAAATTAAGCAAATTAGCATAATTTTATTCTTATTTCATTATTACTTTAAATATTAGGGGGAGCTAAGACTTTCAAGTTGATATGTATGGTTGCGCTTTTTTTGTTGTTGTATGGTTGCATTATCAGAAAAAACTATTTCGTATTATTAATGGCTAATATGTGAAACACATATTAGCCATAAATATTGAAATAAGAATACATTCGAAATAAGATCATTATTATTCGCAAATAAGAAAATTATTTATTCCCGTTTCTTCACCTGCATTGCAAAGGTTTTAAAGTTGTTACAATTGCAAGCAGGAATTGTTTTACTGCTTGTAACTATAAAAACATGTTAGGAGTTTTATTCATTTATTTAAGTTATTAAAATGTAGTGGTGGTCGAAAATATTGTCTACTTAGTTAAATAAAAGATCAATTTTGCTAAAAATAAAAAATGTGTTTAAGATAAAAGTATTAACGTATACATTTTGCTACTACTTAAAAAAAAACGTTTCCAGAAAAACTTTTAAGATACAATAGCCGTAGTAATTACTGCTAAAGAAAATATCACAATAAAGTAATCAATGAACTCTAGCCTTAAATCCAATTTTTTTTCTGCTTCATAAATGGAAGTGGTAATGCTAAAAGAGAAAAACATTAACTGTATAGATGATCAAGGTAAGCAAGCTTGCGAAAAGTAAAAGATTGTGATATAAAAGAAAGGCCTAAAATTGGAAAAGTAACCTGTTTTAAGAAAAGATTGCGAACAAAAAATTTGTTGCATTGTATTAAGCAATTAAATTATATAATTTTCTATTTTAATGTTTTCCTTTATTTAAATAAAAAGAAAATAAAAATCAATTGCGTAACAACATGCTGTCAAGCGCAGTTTTTTTTTATAGATCTTCTGGAATTTTTAGAAGAAGGCAAACAAGATAATAATTAAAAAGTAAATAAATTATGTTTGCAAATTTAATGTTTTTTAGACCCAATTATGTATTAAACTACTAAAATATAATAGAATCAAATATATATAATGGATACCAATTTAAAATTTGGAGAATTTGCCAGAATTTAAACATTTCGCTTGCAATCGTGTTTTTTTTTAATGTATATAAATTATTGTAGTTTTGTTATTAGTGACATGTACTTTTTTGGTAATGAAAGGAAAATGATGCAAAAAAAAATTTTTTTTTGTGTGTGTTATTGACAAAACTGAAACAAAATTGACAAAACGCTGCAATTTTTGAAAAACAAATTTGTTTATTTCGATTTTATATATTCGTTTCATTAAATTTCGTTAGGGTTACTACTTAATATAAAGTTTAGTACTTAATTTTGTGACCCTAGTTGCTCGAATTCATTAAATAAAAAACTGTTTATTTGTTCTGGGGTATTTTTATTATTGATTAAGTATTTTTATTATTGATTTTGAGCATTTTATCAGGTGTAATTTTCTATCATTTGATTTACCAACATGAGAATTTTCATTAATGATTTTGAGTATTTAATCAGGTGTGATTTTCTTTACTTCTTCTTTTATTTATAATTATTTTTTGATTTACTGACATGAGAATTTTTATTAATGATTTTGAGCATTTTATTAGGTGTAATTTTCTTTTCTTCTTTTTTTTGTTTGATTTGCTAACATGAGAATTTTATTAATGATTTTGAGCATTTTATCAGGTGTAATTTTTCTTACCATTTGATTTACCAACATGGGCATTTGATTTAATGATTTTGAGTATTTTATCAGATGCAAATTTTATTTCATTTGATTTACCAACGCGAAATTTTTCATTAATGATTTTAAGTACTTTATCAGGGAATTTTTTTTTTTTACTGAAATGAGAACTTTTATTAATGACTTTAAGAATTTCATGAGATGTAGTTTTCTTTCATTTGATTTACCAACGTAAGAATTTTTATTAATGATTTTGAGCATCTTATCAGGTGAAATTTTTTTTTATATGCTTTACCAACATGAGAATTTTCATTAATAAACTTAAGTATTTTATCAGGTGTAATGTTTTTTTTAACTTACTGGCATGAGAACTTTCATTATTGATTTTGGAGCATTTTATCAAGAATAATTTTCTTTTATTTGATTTACTGACAATGCAGTCAGCGGTTTCTCTTAGAATTCCTATTCTTTGGCCGTTGGAGTTTATTTTAACACACTATACAAAAGGGAAAAAAATAAGCATTAAATTGAATACAAATATCAGTTATTGATTAATTAATTAAGAAAAATTGCAGTGTTTCTTCAATGTTTACTTTCGTCGCAGTGACCTGTTTATATTTCACCAATTAGTTGCGCGACTTGTTAAATTGTGAGAAAGAAGCTTTTATCATGGTGAAAAGTGTATATTTGTAACAAAACTTGCTTAGATGACTTGATTGATTTCTGAAAGGCGATTCAGACTCTAGATTCTCAAAGCATGTATAACGTATGAACATTACTAGATTTAGCTGTTGTTTACTGCAATAGATCCCAAGAATTGTATAATCTGCACCAACGGCATTGTCGATTAATTTGAAAATTTAAAAACAAAATATGAATGATTGTTGTGTGTATTGTTCATAGCGCGCATGACAAAACTTCAGATAGAAGTTCAAGTCTTGTTTGTTATGTTCTCTTTAAAAGCTCTCTGTGTTGAGCTCTTGAAATATTTCTTCGTCGTTTTTTCGATTTGAATAATAAAGTTCTGTTGAATAAATTGTTGTTCCATTTATTGCATATTTTTACATAAATGTACACTGAAAATATTTTAGTGTACTTCACACCAAAAATGGAATAGTGTCAGTACACTAAGCAACAAGTTTTTTCTGTAGTGAATCACCAAGAATGTGTTTTTGGACTCCTCTGGGTATCAAGTAGATGCCAACATTTTTTGTATTCGGTAGCACTAAAATTTATAATTGCGGAAATATGATACGCAGTAAATTAATTTTTACGATGCAATGTAAAGTAAGAATTAGTTTGGGATGCATATTTACACTCATTTTAAAAATAAAATTAGTTCGTTAATCATCAAACATACACCAAGGTTAGAGAGAATATTAAGACGAATTCGAACTAGGCTTAACAGATCAGAAGCAAATCGATATTAAATGTTAATTTTTACGATGCAATGTAAAGTATGAATCATTAATTTAGGATGCATATTTACACTCATTTTAGAAATACATACATTTAGAGAACACAAATTTAGAAATAGTTCATTAATCATCAAGCATACACTAAGGTCAGAGATAATATTAAGAAGAATTCGAACTAGGCTTAACAGATCAGAAGCAAACAGATATTAAATGTTAATTTTTACGATGCAATGTAAAGTTAGGATCATTAATTGCACTCATTTTAAAAGTAAAATGAGTTAGAATCATTAATTTACACTCATTTTGAAAATAAAATTAGTTCGTTAATCATCAAACATGCACTGAAGTTCAGAGAGAATATTTAGAATTCGAACTAGGCTTAACAGATCAGAAGCAAAAAGATATTAAACGTTAATTTTTACGATGCAATGTAAAGTAAGAATCATTGATTTAGGATGCATATTTACACTTATTTTAAAAATAAAATTAGTTTGTTAATCATCAAACATACACTAAGGTCAGAGAGAATATTAAGAGAAATTTTAACTAGGCTTAACAGATCAGAAGGTAATAAGCATAGGCATTTCATAGAACAATTAATAACAAACTGGTAAAGTATGAAACTATTTATATTTCATACCTTGCCTAGGCATTCTGTAGAAAGACTAATAAAAGAAACATGTAGGTATTCTATACACATTGACTAATCAAAGCAAATAATAATTCTCATATTCCATACTTAGTACAGAGATCATTTGAGTATAGAAAGTCAAAGCATTCCTATGGAATGATTGAGCAAAGTACCTAATAATTGTCATCTTTCCTACTCGGCCTAAAAAAAGCCAGGCATTCTATAAAATGTCAGTAATACATATATTAACAGAGACACATGCGATCATTTATTTCTACTTAATAGTAATTGATTAGAAAAAAATTACTGTAAATTAAAGTTTGCATGATAAAATAAAATTAATTAAAAACTAGCTCCACTGAGGAATCCTCTTAAAATAAATTCTGAAGAAAATATGAAAGAATTTTTCCTCTTTCTGCAGCCCATTAATTTTCTACAGGTTTTTAATCACGATTAACTTTGTAGATAATTTTTGCTTGCTCCCTTATAGTTTGTATTAGCACAGAATTTAAATTAAACCTGAAACTCTTCATCGCTTCGGAAATTTTTATTGACGATGAGTTCTTGTTTTTAGCAGTCACGATACGATTCAAACTTGTGCAATCATCCAGCACAGATCTTCAATTAAAATTATAGCTTAAATGTTTAATTAAAATTTTCGAATTCAACTTTGAAAACAGCTATCACCAAAGAAATTATTCAGTTTTCTAAGAGTATACTTTTAAGTAAAATTAACTTTCAGTTAAGGTAATCTTTTGTATTTGTCACATATTTTATGTAATTTCGAAACCAATAACATGGTTTCCTTTAATAAAATATGTTAGATAAATCATGTTAACACTCTCGAAATTTGAAATAGTCCTTAGAGCACGACTTCTCGTCAACAACTCAAAATGCAAGACCATAAATGGATGGTCTGTTTTCGCTTCAGCCAAAATCTATTACTT